TTGGGTTGGGTTGGGTTGGGTTGGGTTGGGTTGGGTAAAACTGGATTGGGTTGGAGAAAGCTGCATTGAAGCTTTGTGGGGAAGGGCATAATGGTGATTCACACACTACTACCCAAATTTATTTATTCATTTATTAAATCAATTTATATGGCCGCCCATCTTGCAAATGCAACTCCGGGTGGCTAACAACAGAATAATAAAAAGCAAGCATTCAAGACTGTACGGTGGGATATCACATATCCCCCCATGTGCATTTTAACATTTTTTCTTTTGGGCAGGTACAATGCCGTTACTGGAGAATGGATTGAAGACGAGGTCTTGATCAAAATGGCTGCACAGGTAAGAAGAGCGTGCCAGCACCCAGAGCTTTCTAACCATTTATTTTAATTCATCATATTTTTATTTTCTGCCCTTCTTCCAGGAGCCAAGGACTCCATGTATCCTATGCCCCGTTTTTTATCTTCACAACAAGCCTGTGGAACAGGCCAGTTGTAAGCTAAGGCTTGGTCCAAAGTCCCAGGAGATATTATGACTGAGAGGTGATTTGAACACCAGCCTCCCTGTGTCCCTTCCAACATTTTGGCCCAAGAGTAGGTCACCAACTTTGGCCAAAGGGCACCTTAGGAATTTGGAGACCATGTCATGGGGCGCCCTCACAAAATGGCAGCCCAGGTGGGCGTGGCCAGTCACAAAACACTCATTACCAGACGGTAAGTGAGTGAAATTGCTTTCTACCTTTCTTCTGGAAGGCTCTCCACCATTTCAGTGGGTGAGCGCACCCAGAAACGAGCCCTGAGTACAACCATCTCCCATTTTTATTTTCCCAAAATGGTGATGTGGTCTTCTGGAAACTTTCTGGAGAACAAGATGACCTTGGAAAGAGATGCTTCACTTGTAGCGTGTTAACTTCCCACTTACGTTTCCAAAAGGTGTGCTGGAGACCAAAGCTTCGTAGATATCCAGAAAGATTTCTGTCTTACCCCAAATTGTAACTATTACTCATTCTGGAACTGCACCTCTAAAGCCCTACTAGATGTTCTTTTAAGTAACCTTCAGCAGTTTAATAACCTCTGTTTTGTTTCTCCAGCCTTTTGGCCGAGGAGCGATGCGGGAATGCTTCCGGACGTAAGTGTGCGGCTGCTTGTAGATGTCCTCGGTTCCTTTTTGGCATGGGGGTTTGGAGAAGCTCCGTTTCCTTGTTTTAATTCAAGTCAGATATAACTCAAGAAAGGGAAACTGGTGCCGAGGAAAGAATGAAGAGCCAAAGTCCCTTTCTGGAGCAACAGCTTTTCACTTGTTGCAAAATACGTGATAAACAGCCACCTTCTCACAGGTCAGGAAATTAGGCAATTCCTGCAGACAAATTGGAACAAACAGTGGGGGATGTTCTACTAGAATCTTTTCATACAGGGACTCATTTCCACCACTGCTACATTAATTCATCAACCCAGGGATTAAGGCTCCAGTTTGATGATTGCACAGCTCCAGAGTAGGATAGCTGAGATCGCAGCAAGCTAATTTTGAAATCTGATTTTGCCCATCCTGACTGGTAACAGGGATCAGAATTTCTTGCAGAAGGTTTTCAGCTTGGCTTGTGCCAGAATCCCACTGGAGTTCTCCTACATGCCAGGAAAACAACACCTTTCTCTAAAGTAGACCTGGATTTGCCATAGATACAAGCTAAAGAATGATGCTGCTGGGAGGATCCTTAAAATTGCAGAGCACACATAGAAGGTCCCGTTTTTGCAGCATCCTGGCTTCACCGGTCATTTGTTTCTCTTGCTCTTTTAGGAAAAAGCTGTCCAATTTTTTGCACACGCAGAATTGGAAAGGGGCCTTTAATTACGTGGCAAAGAGGTACATCGAGACGGTGAACAGGGACGTCTATTTTGAGGATGTGCGGCTCCAAATGGAAGCCAAGTTGTGGGGAGAAGAATATAATCGCCATAAGCCCCCCAAGCAGGTATCTTGTGCAGGATCTTGGGGAGAACCTGGGAAGCCCAGAGAATTCAAAGTCATGCCGTTAAAAGTTGCCTTAACCTTAACGAATCCACCGCGTGCAATTGAGTGGGTTTTAACTCAAGAGTATTGGGAATGTTCACCACCTTGAGTTGACCAAAATACATAAAAGGCAGGATAAAAATATAATAATGATGATCATAATAACAACAAAGTATGGTTGCATTCACCCAAGGTCCAAAGTACTTCTGAATCATGCAGTAAAAGTTAGACACGTTCATCAGAATTTCTGTACAGTAGTTTTAACTGGGGGCGTCCAGGGGAAAGAGTCAAAAAAGTCAAAATGGCAGCCGTGAGCAGGTGATCAAAGCCCTGACCTCCCTCCCCAGCAGACACCCCTGCTACAAACTTGGTTGAAGCAGGTTTGGGGTTGGCAATGCTGCTGTATGATCGGGGTGGAATTGATTCAGAACATCCACACCAAAATGTGGGTGGTCTGTGAAATATAGTTTGGTTTTATGCCATTTAAAACAGAGGCTTTGGACATGATCTATCACTTTTCATTTCTTGCACTGTGTCAGTTTTGGTAGAGTTTATACAAAAGTGCATTCCTGGAGATTTTTGGTGGGCAAAACCAACATTTTACCAATCATCTTCTTGTTCTCATTCTATAATCCAGCGTTTCTCAACCTTGGCAGCTTCTAGATGTGTGGTTCCAACTCCCAGAATTCCCCAGCCAACCTGGGGAATTCTGGGAGTTGGAGTCCACATCTGAAAGCTGTCAAGGTTGAGAAGCACTACTCTAATCAAAACCTGAACCCTTTTCAAGTGAGCAAGTTCAACTCTGCCAGGTTCTTCTGCCAAAGATCTCCGAGAACGTGACTCTCCATCACGTCAAGGGAATGGATTTCTAACAAACTTGGTTCATACCCTACTGGGGTTTTTCTCTTTAACATGTTGTAATCCAACCATTGTGGCTTGTAAAACATGGGTTCTGGCTTAAAGTGATGAGTCCAGACAGGTGCAGTTTGACCGAGTCAACTATAAACAAATTGTGGCTTAGTGCAGGATGGAAACTCTCACTCCTGTCAGCCTGGCAGAAGTGAGAAAAAAACCTATTTCTCAGCACCTTTCTCAGCTAACCCACCCTCCCTTCTCTCTCTCTTTTTTTTCTCTCTTTCCCTTCCTTCTTTCTCCCTTCCTCCCTTCCTTCCTTAGGTAGATATTGTCCAGACCTGCATAATTGAAATGAAGAACAGGCCAGGGCGACCTCTTTTCCACCTGGAGCATTACATTGAGGGGAAATACATCAAATACAATTCAAACTCAGGATTCGTACGAGACGACAACATCCGTCTGACCCCGCAGGTAGGACTTCCTTTGCAACTGGGTTGGCAATTACAGTGGATTATGGATGACCTTGAGAACCAGTTGGGGTAGAGATTTAAGACACCAGGTTAGAAACCAGGAGTCAATGAATTCTAGTCCACCTTTAGGCACAAAAACTAGCTGGGTGACCTTGGGCCAGCCCTCTCTCTCAGCCCTGGGAAGAAGGAGACAAGGGCAAACTACTTCTGAAATCTTGCCAAGAAAACTATAGGGACTTGTCTAGGCAGTTGCCAGGGGTCAACAATGACTTGAGGCCCCCCCCCCCA